CTTGCCCCCCCCCCCAAAAAAAAAAAAAAAAATGGCCCTACATATTCTACATGTGGAAACCTCTTCCACAAAGGATTAGAAGGATATCACAAAAAAACTATTGTGTACCATAGGGGTGCAGTATATGAGGGATGCTTTGAGAACACGATCGAGTAAAAGAGGAGCTAAATGCCAAATTCTCTAAGTGTTAGTTCTGACACAAAGAAGTTTAGTTTCTCATACATGTGGTTAACGAGCACGGAATACAAGTGTATCCTATTAAGGTGAGTGTTGTAATGAAATTCTAGGATACGAAGTTTTCTAGGACTAGCAGGGTACAACCGAAGATCCATACAAGACTTCTCTTAAATAGCAGTGACAATAACGGCATTGCAAATAAATGGTAAAAAGTTTGAATAATGTAAGGAGCAAGAACAAGCTTTTCATACACTAAGAAAACAGTGTTCCCATTTTATTATCACCCGAGGGAACGAAAGAAACTATAGTATACAACAATTCCTCAAGGTTAGGTTTAGCATTTGTACTCATGCAACATGATAAGTAACAGATTATGCATCAATGCAATTAAAGGAAAATGAGAAGAGAAATCCGACGCACAACTTCAAGCTTGCTATGAGTGTTTTCGCATTCAAGATCCAACGACATTACCATGAGGGTACTCACTACATTATCTATAGCAGTCATAAAATTTGCAATACATGACATGACTCAAAAAAGATGGATGAAACTGCTTAAAGACTATAATTGTGAGATACGGTCTTATCTAGGCAAAGCAAATGTAGAAGCGGATGCTTTAGCGAAGCAGAAATGAGTCAAAGCATTGAGAATAGAAGTGGTACCAAAATTTCTGCTCAAGTAATAAAAAGAGGCTCAGACCAATTCACTTACCAAAAAACATATTAAGAAAGCATATGATTGAACACAAAAATTTCTTGGAGATTGATAACAAGAGATGTAGAAGGTTTCAACAAAGATGGTGGGTTCCATTCGTAGGCAGTCACCGTGAGGCCAAGATGAGTGAAACTCACAAGTCAAGCACTCCAATCACCCTAGCACAGAGAAGAAATATAGAGACTTGAAACTGTTATAATGGTGACACGGAATAAAAGACGTTAGAAACTTTGTAGATAAATGTATGGCTTGCCTTCAAGTAAAGACTGAACATCAAAAATCATTTGGAGGGTAATAGCCATTCACCATCCCAGTATGGAAATGAGATTACATCATAGTGGATGAAATTACCTCGAACCAAAAAAGATGATTCAATTCGGATAATCGTCAACATATTAACCAACTTTGCTCATATCAAGTTGATTAAAGAAATCACAATAGTAGAATGATTAGCAAAGCTGTATGTGGATGGGGTAATGTCAAGGCATGGGGAGCTATGATCAATATTGCCAAATTGAAATAGTAGATTTACATCTCGTTTTGTAGAAAAGTTTTCAGAAGAAAATGGGTCAAGACTCGATACGAGCACGGATACTTCCACAGACTGAAGGGCAGAATGAACGTACAATTAGAACGTTGGAGAACATGCTCAGAGCATTCGTAATTAATTTAGGTGGTAATTGGGAATTTCTAATGACCACTAACCCTAATAAAATTTTCGTACAATAATAGTTATCATGCAAGTTTGAAAGTTGCACCATATGAAGTTTATATGGAAGAAAGTGTTGAACCTCAACATGTTGGAAAAATATCGAAAACAAAGGAATGACAGGGGAGACAAGCCGACAAACTTTAGAAGGTAAAACAAATCCGTGAAAGGATACAAGCGGCTCAAGATCAAAAGAAAAGCTACGCAGATAAGAGATGAAAGCATATTGGTTTTTAAGTTGGTAATCAAGTTATGTTAAAAGTGGCTCCATGGAAAAGTTGATAGGTTTTGGGAAACGAGGTAAGTTAAGTACACAACCCTTTTCGAATAACTTAGAGTCAAAAAAGTAGCCTACCGATTAGAATTAACAGATGAACTACATAAGGAACATAGTACTTTCCATGTATCAAATCTAAGGTGTCAGGTAGATGAAAGGAATCCGAATAAATGAAAAGTTAGCATATGTAGAATTGCCAGAGAAGATCATTGATTGGACAAGTTGAAGGTTGCTTAACAAAGAGGTTCCAATGGTTAAACTAAAGGGGAAATATCACAAAGAACTAAACGCCACTCAGGAAATAGAGAAGAAGATGAGACTAAAGTTCCCCTCAGGCCCGACCATGGGCATGTGCACCCCGTGCAACCGCATAGGGCATCAAAGCCCAAAGGCGCATCAAATTTTTATATAGTATTAGTTTTGGGTTTTGGGGTTTAATAATTTGAGATGTGGGCTTTAATTATAAACAGAGGCCCAACTGACCACGCTTGTTAATAACAAACCCAAGGACTTGAATCGGTGACAATAGGATAGGCGCATCACAGTTCACAAGACGATTGGCTTTGGTAATCTGAAATTGACGATTTCTATTGTTTTTTGAGTGTTCGACTTTTTTGATTTTCAACGATAACGTTCCAGTTCCAGAGAAAGACGATTAACAGTAACGAGCCTAACAACTATCCATGGAACGATGGATCGATCTTGATGATCAGTCGATGCATTGCCAACTACCGGACTATATATACTCGAATACACGATTGTAACGGTTGCTGACTTGTTGTCCAATATTGTAATGGCGGAAGCTTGGGAAAAAAAAACCTAGTTTTAAGAAGATGAAATTAAAGCTTATTTGTCAATGGTTTGTAGTGATTTTGGTATCAAAATGTCAACACTTATCTTGCCTTTATCATAATATTAAAAGCCCTATGAAAAACTGGTTGGAAATCAACCAAAGGGAGGTAAGGTTTATTAGGGTTAAAAATGTAATTTGGTTTTCAAATCTGATAAGTTGTTTCTGATAAGTTAGAAGAGAGTAACTTATCAAAAACTCTTTATTATCGGTTTGGCACCCGTATAAGCATTCTCTCTTTTTCCCCACAGGCACCACATCGGAATAAGTCAATAAGCACTTTAAATAAGCAATCCCAAACACCCCCTAAATATTGAATTGCATAATGTTATTTGCACCTTCTATGTAAAATCAAGTCAATATTTACATTGAGAATATAAAATATAGATTCCGATAGTGATACGTGTAAAAAGAAATTTATAGGTAGAGACTATATTTATGGGTTGGGTTCCGGGAATCGTATAGCAATCGTATCTTTCGTTGATTCGTTTGCATTAAAAATAGGCATGAGGGCAGTTTTTAGCATCTTCGCATAGGGCATCAAAAACCTCAGGAACGGCACCGGTTCCCCCATCTCTTCTCATGACTCATGAGGGAGGATATCTGTAACACCCTAATTTAAGGGCTAAGAGATATATATATATATATATATATATATTTGTATATGCGTGTATGTAGAGAGAGAGAGGGAGATAAAGCCTTGTTAAATATTAAAATAATGATAAACAACGCCATCGATTTACTAATCGGTTGATATTAGGTCATAAATGAAACTGAAACCTAGTAATGCAAGATAAACTACGAGTAATATGGAAACCAGAAGATAACATAGTGATGTTATATGTGATTAGAATAATCTAAGAGAACCAAGAAGCATCCAGTTTGGATCCGAAAAGACTACTTGTATCAAGTATAAATTATGGACATATGTATGTCAAAATATAGAAAATAAGACAAACACAACGATGAATTTATTTTTACAATCGAGATTTTATTTTACAAGATATTAATTAAAAACAGAAGAATTATGTATATGTGATATTGAAGCATTAAAAAATATTGATAAGAAAACCTTGGTTAGTGGATGTTAAGGTGGCAGGGAACCATAAGTGGCCTCTCTCCTATTAATAGGAGAGCTTTCCCTGCTCCCTCATTATTCCTTTCACAACCCAGCAAAAACCAAACAGAAAATAAACAGAGTCGTACGGAGCAAGAAGGAAAAGCGGAAAAAAGGGAGAAGCTGTAGAATTTAGGTCTCCAAATAGCTGGCAACCATGTGACTACATGTTCTATTTTTGGTTGATTCAACCTGTGATACATACTAGATTCCTATGATTTTCCCTGGTTTATACTTGAATTTTAGAAACATGCCACATACATGTTAACTATGTATCTCACGCCATGTTTCACATGTGATAATAATTGTTTACCGATGATAATTACTACCGAAAAACTAGAACCAATGAGTTTTAATCTTGAAAGGATGATTCGAACGAGGGCCGGCAAAGTGCAAGTCATTGAGACAGTAAAACCATGGCAGGAGGTCATGGAAACAGTCCTGGGCCCTTGACGAAGGGATCCAAGGTGAAATCAGATTTTGAAATATGAATAATATGAGTAAGAACATGTGTTTTCTATTTGGAATGAGGCTTCAAATTTTTTTTTCTGTATGTATTGACAAGAGAATGTGTAATCACTAAGCAACTCAATTACTTAAAATTTTAAGTACGTATCGCAGACTAGAGTTCAGATGTTATGAAGGTAGAAACGGATAAGTCAGGGGAGCTGTTGAAGGATACAACGGATAGTCAAGTTTGTATCAGTTTGTCCTATATAATGTTGATATTAGAAATGAGTTATAATGTGTTCTTGAATGATAGTTTATACTTAGGCTTAGAGGGTGGTCCGTTTTACTGGGAAGGATCGAACCATTTTCTATCTACGATCCAATGGGATATGCTTTGTTTCAAATAATATTATGTTTTGGACTAAATTGCTTCGGCATTGGTTTCATATGTCTTCAATGTATGGTTGTTAAATCGAGGTCCATAACAGCTTCTGCATGTCTAGGTAAGGAGGCAGAACGTGGGGTATTACAGAGGGCTAGTGTATAGAGAATGACCTCTTCAACAAGCAATGTTCACATTAAGGCAACACTAAGATGCTCTATATAAAGTATAAACATAAATATGTCCTTAATCTACCAAATGAAGCAACAAGAGGCACAATTTCATGAGCATAATAAAAGACATTCCCATGATAAATTATCTTACCAAATAAACAACAGGTTTTGCAGTCAGCAATTGAAAAGTATTCAAGATCTCAATATCAGCAGCTTTCCAGTCCCCTAACCGGACATCTTTTCCCTCCTTGACAAAATTTTTGACCTACAGAAGTTGAAACAAGATTACTGTCCTACATAGATAGATGCATACAAAGTGAAGATGTTGCATTATTTTGGGACAATCCAGAATAAAGGTTGTGTTTTATATGGAATGGAAAAAATATTTCAAATCAAGTACCAATCAACCATTGCATTTATTTCTGAAATTTGGAACAAGATGAGTGTCAAAGCTTGTGATTTCTAGTACATTTTGGATTATATAATCAAATTAAAATACATAGTAATGAAGTTCTCTTGAATCCATCCCACCCAGTCTCATCTTACTTGAATACCATCTGAAGGAAACACTAATATTAAAAAACTAAATTAATACTTGAAAATTGCCACATATAATTGGTCTCGTCTAATCATCAGATACTTCCATTCAGTTTTTTTTTTTTTTTATAAGGAGGGGGGAGACCCCTCCAGATCAAGCAAAAAAAAAAACACTAAAACGCAAGATAAAAAGCACTCGGGTGGGGCCGAGTCCACAACCACCAGAAAAAGCCAAGGAGCCCCGAGAGAAAAGAAGGGAGAGAAAAAGAAACAATCCACAAGGGAAAGGCCCAGGCAGGCAAGACCTAGGCAAGCAACGGGGAAACAACAAAGGAAGGAATAGGGGCCTAAAACAAGCTCACCCTATACCAAACCAAAAGAAAAGCACAAATCAAATCAAGCAGCGACCAAACAGAGCACACACAACAAGGCAAATCACTGGACAACCGAGGAAGGGGTAGTATCCATCTGCTCAGACTCCTGAGATGTCTTTGGCTCATCCTGGGAGGGTGTGATATCACTGGTGAGAAATTTAGCAGTATCTCCATCAACCGACTCAACCTCAATCACATCACCCTCATCAAGGAGGTCATCCTGATCAAGGGGATCATCCTCGATCTCAGAAGGAACAGAAGAAACAGGGGGAAGGGGAGGGGAGGACTCAGGCTCAGAAGACTGAGATGAGTCAGCAAGAATAGAGAAACGATTGGAAGAAGGAGGGGCCTTGGGCTTTTTCTGGGGGGAAGTGGGGGGTTCGAAGGTTTAGATGAGGGTTGGTTAAGGATGGGGGGCCTAGGTGGGGAGGAAGGTCTAGAGGGGGAGGATAAACCCATTTGGGGGGGATCTAGCTGGGGGGCATGCTTTCGTTGCACAGGACAGTATTCCTTGCGGGGAGGGGCGTTCACATTGGACAATTTTGTGGCATTGACGTTCTTTCCATTCACCAATGGGGAAGGGGGGGGGTCCTTTTTGGCATTGTTGGATTTTTTGCGCTTGACAGTTTGAAAACCTTCATTGTCAGTAACTCGCACGCTTTCATCATGAACATTCTCAGTAGATTTATCTTTTAAGTCAGAAGCTTTAGAAACAACATGAGAGCACATAGAGTAGTGTGACCAAATTGCCACATCTTCAAAACAAAGTTTAGTTCGTTAGGGTCCCGGCATAACTAATACCAACATTAAATAAACAATAATCATTACTCATATTAGATTAAAATGTCAAATAATACAAACAAATAGCACATAAATTATTTACAGCACGACTCCATCGTACACACTCACATAATGTGCACACATGTATACATGTCTAAAAATAAGATTTAAGGTATTCTGCCAGTTAAATAGTGCTTTGAACATGTGTCTTGCCACATACGAGAGCATTATAGGTCCACGTGTTGGCTCAATATGTTGTGCACAAGATAGCTATTCCACAAGCACTTAAAGCTTGTGAGATACCTCAAACACTACCATCCCATATATCATGTCTACAAATAAACTAGAGCCATCCACATTAAAATGTAACATAAATACAGTATTCGTTTATGTATAATTATCCAAGACTAGAATCTGGATTAAATCCAAAGCTGGAACTCTGCATGTCAAAAAAGTCATCAATGAAATAATCATTGGTTAACCGGAGCATGCAGATGCAAATGAGCTCCAAGGTATACAAGGTTTTACTAATAAGAAGTGGTCATTTATGAAGATACCTTCAGGCATAATTCATGCTCCACTTTTAGCTGCTTATCATTGCTCCTCTTCATGCTCTTTTCGAGATCCTCAATTCTTCTTTCGATAAATTCCATATCCTTCACACATAGCAACATTTACCAACCTAATTACTCATCAAATAAACATTCAAGAAAAAATGTGTTTTAAAGTTTATAAAAGTTAAAGAACCCCAACATAGTTTAAATTTCCATATCAAAACAGAAAGAAAAGAAAGGTAGAAATGAATGACCAACGGTGATAAAGTATGCTCTATGCTTATACTGTTGTACAACAAATCGTATGATGATTTATAACTGACCTACAATGATGACAGTTATAGATGACAGTCTACATAGCACTTTTGCTACTTTCACCTCCTCTCAACTGCATAATTTGGGATACTCATCATCAAGTTTTCAATTCACTTCATCTTTATCCTTAAATTTAGTACTGCCAATTCCCTTCATGCATCCCTTGGTAGTACATGATTTACAAACAGGAGATACCTTTAGATTCCACAAGTTCACTCCATTTTTCACTTGATGGACAAATAAGCTTATTAACTTGTGGTAACTAGGATTACATTTTAGGTGTGCCTAAAGTCATTCACCATAAACTACATGTAAAACGAGATAAAGTACTGATGAAGACGCCAACCTTTTCAATGTCAGGCAATTAAATGCCATGGTAGATCCATTCATTTCATGTTGATGCCCTTGCTTAACCACGTTAGGAGTCTCATATACCATCAAGTTTAGTTATCGGGAAGATATCTAAAGCCATATAATAGTATCCTCAAGAGGGATCAACTACTGTATATATAAAGAAAGGGAAAGCAGAGAGGCAAAGATGATTCGCATCACTGATTCACTCACACAAAACTGACAAAGAAGAGGTCAGTCCAGTTACACAAAACATAATTCATTATGTAAACATAAATAAAATAGCATAGATCTTTCTCTTCAGCAAATATAATTGATTCATCATAATATGTATCTGTAGAAGATTTGGTTCAAGGAGAAGTTGAGCAAGCGTTACAGTTACAAATTAAATCAATTTTCTAACAGCTAGACATACTCCATCTTTGGAGTCTTATTAAAGGTTTCATTTTCCCATGTTCGGAGTCTTGTGCAGTAACATGTTTCAACATTACAGGCAGCTAACATGTCCTGTGGAATCAAAGAAGTATAGTAAATCTTGCCGTATCATATTCAACAGTTAAAAAATGCTTAAAGTAGAGGCTGGCAACCCAGATATCACAGAAAGACAAAAGGAAATAGCCTCAAGAAGAAGATAATCTTTAACACACCTTCAGCCGTAATTCTGCAGCTATAACTTTCATGTCTCTTACAGGATCCACAGAGTCATCAACGTGTATAATATCTGGGTCTTCAAATGCACCTGTTACAGTACAAAATGTACGACTAGTAAAGTCTTTACTTAGTACTCACACTATAATAGGACAAGCAAATAACCAAGGATAAAAGTATCAACATGACGAAGCATGTAGTATGTTAAGCTTTGGTTTGCTTTACCAACAAATAAAGAAATCAACCAAAGAAACAAGCAGGGGCTCTAAGATTTATAAACAACGAATTGCATGACTTGGTGTGTGTTTAACATTATTTCCAATGAACGAAAATCCAGATAACTAGAAAGATATAGCAAAAACATTCAAAAGAAGACAGCTATCTTACGTAAAACATGAAATATGCCATCAACTGCACGAATGTGAGATAGGAAATTGTTTCCAAGCCCTTGACCTTCATGTGCTCCTTTAACTAGCCCAGCTATATCATGTATCTCTAAGAACGCTGAGACCTGCCCAGCCAAATAAGAGCAATGTGCATATCATCTGACCCCACCACTGTAGATTAGGATAAGCTAGCAATGAACCACTGTAGAAGTTAAAAGTCATCAAGAATCAACTCTTTCCGCATTCATTTGAGCAAAGTTGGCAACTATGAGTGATTACAGGTTTCAAATTTGATATGAACAACACATAGCATGATACTTTAAGTAAAACATATGATATTGGATCCCAAACCTCACTCCTTGGCTTGAAATGTTGACATAGCCATTCAAATCGCTCATCTGGAATATGAACACGTGCCTCGTTAGGTTCAATGGTACAAAATGGGAAGTTCTCAGCTGGTATAGACAGCTTTGTGAGTGTGTTGAAGAGTGTAGATTTTCCCACATTTGGCAAACCCACCTGAAATTAGAAGGAAATTAGATATGGGTCTATTCTTCATCACAGGATAATTAGGTACAAGAAGACAATAAGCTACAAGTCTGAATCCAAAAACATGTTAAGAAGACTTCATACCATATAGTGATTTCTTGGGATTTAAAGGCAATTTAACTATTTAAAAAAAAAACTTTAGGATCAAAGATGCACATAACTTATAGCAAACCGGAGGAAATGATATCCCTTCCTTTATCCTGTTTGGCATGTATATCTCTGCAATATCTCTGCGCTAATCCCTCCGTAATTGAAGGGATTATGTCTTATTTATAACCCCTGGTTAATGAAAAATCAATTTCCTTTTGATTTCCATGTGGTATCAGAGCCACGGCAAATGATCCCAAGAACCCTAACCTGATACAACAGCCGACCCTGAACCCAGAACCACATCATGACCAAAAATATAGATGAAAGCAACATTGAAACACTGGTAGGGAACTTCTACATACCACAGGTGGATCCAAACTCACCCTATAACATCCATGCATCGAATTATCCTAGACAGATGCATGTGAACGACATGTTATGCATCAGACTATCCTCGACAGATACATACGAACTACACGCTGAATGACTACTACATGAATTGGTTGCAGAAGATGAAAAACTTCCTCTATGTGAAAAACAAAGTCGCTTTTCATAGACGGAACCATAAAGATGTCAGAAGAGGAGTAGCAAAATCTAATCCCATGAAAACTATGTGATGCCATAATTAAAGGGTGGCTTGCTACAGTTATGGAAAAGAATATTAGGAACATTTTGAAATACACCAACACCACCGAACAAATTTGAAGAGACCTTGAAAAGTGATTTGCAAAGAAAGTGTTCCACATGCGTAAGAACTTAAATGTGTGATTACTTTGATTCAGCAAGAGAAAGATTATGTTTCAGCCTACTATATGAAGGTGCAAGGTTTGTGGCACGAGATTTAGTCCGTCTCACCCATACCAAAAATGCATCTACCGCAATCGTATGTGCGGAGTTGGAAAGTGTAATTTCAGAGAAATTATGTTGTTATTCTCATTGAAAAGCAAAAGGGGTATTTATACAGCTTAGAGACCTGACTAGAATCCCATAATTCAAGGGATTTGATAACATACAAGGAAACTAACCAAACTATACAAATATCTACCAAATCTATTACAAAAGAAAAAATAATCCCAAGAAATCAAGGATTATTTCACTGTATCAATTCCACACTCCTCCTCAAGTTGGTGCATATATATCATACATGCCCAACTTGTCTATAAGACGATCGAATGCCAGTCTAAATAGTCCTTTGGTTAAGATATCTGTTGTTTGCTCTTTGGAAGGGATGAATGCAACGCATATAGTCCCATTGTCCAACTTTTCCATTGTGAAATGTTGGTCCACTTCAATGTGTTTTGTCTTGTCATGTTGAACTTGATTTTGTGACATGCTAATGGCTGCTTTATTATCACAAAACAACTTCATAGGTAGCTCAACATTTAAACGTAAGTCAGCAAAGACCCTTTTGATCCAGATTATTTCACATATGCCATCTACCATTGATCAGAATTCAGCTGCTGCACTGCTTCTGGATACAACACTTTGTTTCTTGCTTCTCCATGTGACAAGATTTCCCCATACATAAGTACAATATCCCGATGTAGATCTTTTGCTGATGTTTGGGTCTGCCCAGCTTGCATCAGTGAAGGCTCCAATGGTTCGGTTGTCTCCTTTTTTAGAGAGTAGTTCTTTGCTTGGACAACTCTTTAAATATCTAAGAATTCTGTGGACAGCTTCTTCATGTTCTTCATAAGGACAATGCATAAATTGGCTCACCATGCTAACTGCAAAAGCAATGTCAGGCCATGTATGTGATAAGTAAATCAACCTTCCAACCAACCGTTGGTATTGATGAATATCAACCTGCTTCCCATTAGTAATGACATACAACCTTTTGTTAGGGTCAATTGGAGTATCTATCCGTCAGCATGCACTCATTCCAGTATCTTGTAAAAGATTCGGAACATATCTCCTATGTGACAATACAATGCCCTTACTTGACTTTGCAACTTCCATACCCAGAAAGTATTTCATTTTTCTAAGGTCCTTTACTTCAAACTCTTTAGCAAGTTGATCCTTCATTCTTTCCATCTCCTCATGATCATTACGTGTGACAAGTATGTCATCCACATAAACTATTAAGGTTGTAATTTTACCTTTTGAGGAAAATCGAGTGAATAGAGTATGATTAGATTGAGCCTATGTCTGTATCCGTGAATTTTGACTACTTGAGTGAAACATGAAAACCATGCCATTGGGGATTGCTTGAGCCATACAAAGCTTTCTCTAATTTGCACACTTTTATGCCAAAGTTACTTTCAAACCCAGGTGGTGGCAACATATAAACTTCTTCTAGTTGCCATTCAAGAAGGCATTTTTCACATCAAATTGCCTAATTGGCCAATCAAGATTTGCTACTACTGAAAGTAGACTGCTTACGGTATTTAACTTTGCAACCGGAGCAAATGTTTCTGAATAATCAATGTCATAAGTTTGTGTGAAACATTTGGCTACTAACCTTGCTTTATATCTTTCAAGGGCTCCATCAGCATTAAATTTTGGAGTAACTACCCACTTACAACCAACTGTGGGAGTACCTTTCGGAAGATCTTCAACATGCCACGTCTGATTCTTCTCAAGAGCACTTAATTCCTCTAGAACAGCCTTTTTCCACTCTGGACTTTTAAGGGCTTCCTGTATAGTGTTAGGAATTTGAACTTTGGACACATTTGAAGTGAAAGCAGAGTATTTTGGTGAGATTTTTGAGCAAGACATGTAATTGGACATATATGATAATTAACACATGCACGTTTTCTTTTCTCAAGGCTATTGGAACATTCAGGTCGCATGACTTACCAAGAGATGGTTCCTTCCTCGGTTCGGAATCCAAAGCTGAGATTGTATTGAACTCTTTGTTTGGAGGGAATCTTTGCTCATACACTTTTTCGAACTGTTTTTTTTTCTTTTTCACTACAATCCCCTTGAGTAACTTGTTGAGGTTCAAATGGTACTTCAGTTTCTTCAGGAGGAATATTATGTTCATCTTCTCGATCTAGTGGTGGTTCTATTGGAACATCTACATTTTCCTCATGTTCAAAGATTGGGCAATCTTTGGGATTTGAGTCAAATGCAAATGGCTCAAATGTAGTTGGAAATACTAGATCCGAAAAATTTAAGTCTTCTTTTTCATTCTCCCCCTGAGGATGAGATTTAAAGAAAGGAATATTTTCAAAAAAACTTAACATCCATGGTAACAAACATTTTTACCGTGTTCGGATGAAAACATTTAAATCCCTTCTTATGTGTTGCAATTCCTACAACAACACATTTGAGGGCTTTGTGGTCTAATTTGCCAAGGTTGATATTGGTGTTCTTAATAAACACGGTACAACCAAAAACTTTTAAAGGTGAAACAAAATAATCGTGACTTTGGAAAAGAACTTTCTAAAACAGATATGGGTGTTTGAAACTTTAAAGTTTTAGACGGCATTCGATTCATTAAATATGTAGCATGCAGAAGAGCATCTCCCCATAAATATTTTGGTATTTCAGTTGAAAATAGTAAAGCCCGAGTGATTTCAAGCATATACCTCGATTTCCATTTCCCAATAGCTCAATTAAGTCAAATGCATGCTTTGACTTCATACATTGTGAGTTGTGACATGTGAGGTGGTTATCGCACCCCTTCTATTTCTGGAGTCGGATATTATTTAACCATTGTGGAAAATTTTAGTAGATTCGTTTGGGTTTATCTAATTAAGATACAAGTCAGGATGCAATTTGGAAAGAACATTAAGAAAATAAGGAATGAGAATGGTGGTGAGTTCACGTTGAATAATATGATGAATGCAAAACTATTTTAGAAACGTCTTGCCCTCATACTCCCCAACAAAATAGAGTCATTGAGATTAAGCAAAGACACATTCTTGAGGTGGATAGAGCATTTAGCTTCCAAGCAAATTTACAGGTTGTTTTTTTGGCAAAATTAACACCTTATGAAATTTTGTTTAATAGGAAACCCATACACGATCACATGCGTGTTTTTGGTTACCTTGTATATGCATGAGATAATAATACATGAGGAGATAAATTTGAAGCAAGGAAGTGCACCTAGGAGAAAGCTCATAGGAGGAGTCTGATGAGATAACGGCAATGACAGAAATGGAGCAGTGGTAGCATATGATACAACGAGGACTTTGAAGTAATTAATCACTTAATCTTCTGCCCTTGATTAATTTAGAGAGCATACATGATATATATACATACAACTATACAGTTTGATTAGGAAATTAACTCACATAAATAGTTAATGTATACTAAAGTAATTTGGTTTCCTAGGTTCTAAAGATCAAGAAACTAATTCCTATCTTTGTGGGAATATTCAACAAACTAACATTTCAAACAAAAATATTTTGGATCTATGAGTATGATATTAGATTTCTAGCAAAAGGAAGAAGCAAATATAACTCCTAAACATCATGAACTGTATCCCTAGGTGGTCAGATTTTTGTATCCCCATTCCCTTTAGCCGATTCAAGAAAACAAATATTGGTTGAAGACCTTAAGAGACCATCGAATTTTATATGCCGAAGAGGTTAAACATGAAACAAATATGAAGGGGTAAAGTTGTTAAAGGCTCAAGGCACAAAGGGGTCCAAGGGCCTAAGTACGAGACGCATGACCTTAGGAATGCAAGGCGCTGGCATGGGCCTCAAGAATGCGAGAGACATCTTATCGGCATATATATACACACACACACACATACACAATTACACACAACTCAAATATACAACAAGTACAAGCCAACACTGTAGCAACGAGTAGTACTTTGATAGAGAAGGGAGAAGGGAGAAGGGTTTTAAGCGTGAGCTGTGAGAGAGAAGTTTTAAGGTCCAGGTATTTATAGAGATAGAAGCTTGAAGTTCTAAGGACTGGGTATTAGTTGCTAGGGTTTGACAATGCCATCTATTTAGTAACTCTTTTTAAGATGTCTAGAAGATCAGAAGGTGAGAAAATCTTTATATATATAAAAGGAAAATCTTGGGGTATTGAGGTGGCACCATGAGAATTAAGTATTCTTAAATGGTGAATAATGGTTGAGTTTTAGTTGTCCCACATTGGTGAGAGGTTGAAATATTTGAACAAAGTGGTGCGTATAAAAAAGGTGGATTGGATGTCTTTATGTCAATTCATGGGGTTTGACTCATAAATTGTCTTATTTTGGACGACTCTCTTTGAAATCTATAACCACGGTTGGAATCAAAACCAACCAAATGGTAAAAAAATATAGTGCAAAATTGAGTGAACCAAAGATGATGACTTGACAACCTCGGGTTTGAGTATTCCTCAAATTTTGAAATAAGGTTGACTTTCATCATCTCATATTGGTTGGAAAGATGATAGTTTGGAAGAAGATGATGTATATATATAAAAGAGTGATGGATGATTTAAAATCTATAACTCATGGTTGAGATCAAAACCAACCAAATGGTAAAATTTTATTGCAAAATGCAGTTAAAATATCATGCAAAACACGAAGTTGAAAACAAATTAAAACATGGTTAAAATATCAAGCAAACACAAAAATGAAACAAATTATTCATTTAAGAATATATCAATCGTCTTGAAATAAGGTTGAGTTTCATCATCCCCCATTGGAGGAGAGATGATGGTTTGGAAGAATATGAAGGATATATAAATGAGTGATGAATGCTTTGAAATCTATAAGCATGGTTGGAATCAAAACCAATCATGGTAAAATTATAGTGCAAAACATGCACTTAAAATATCATGCAGAACACAGTTAGAAACAAATTTAAATATAAAACTAAAAAACTATAACATTGATGTTGCACCCAAATAATTGAGTAATCTTCATTTCTTAATTTGTGGTTGAGTTTTGTTCATCTCACCTTGTCGGAGAGATGAAAGATTGACGATGAATGATATGTATATGAAAAGAGGTTGAGATGCCTTTGTGGCAACTCATGTGGTTGACTCCCTTTAACTGATACTCTAACTCATGTTGTTGGTTAATTTGACTAACCCTTTGAAGCCATGTAGTTGGTTCATTTTGGCCAACCCTCTTACAGAGTTAGTCTATATAAAAAATTAATTAAATCAAATATATATATATATACACCATTAAAATATCAATAATATATCTCAATATCAAATATCATCAATATAATAGAACTAAGGGTGATTATGTGGTATTATGAGATTTGAGTATTCATAATCATTCTATTGGTATTGAATTTGGTTATCCAAAATGGTGAGACTATGATAAATTGGAATGACGCGAGTACATGGGTTTGGTTTTTTGACCTACACTCTAAACGAAATATATTAATTATTCTACTTTACATTTCATTATAAGTAAATTAGCGAATCACGTTTCATCTTAATTTTACATGATTTTTAAAAGAAACAAAATTTGTCACTGCACAACGTACGGTGCCAAACACCAGTTTATTTAATATTAGAGTTTGGCTAGGCGTTTAGTAACCCTTTATGTGGAGCAGTACCTTAGTGAGCCTCGACTTCAAAAAAGCCTAAGACCTCGAGCCTTATGTGCAACAGCACTTTTAACAACTATGATAAAGGGGCATGTTCAAATGATAAATTTACCTTAAACCAACTATTGTGTTTTATTCATGAGGAGAACTATTCATAATATTCATGATGAAAAGTTTCTGGTGCTCATAATCAAAATCTATGATACACAAAGGAATAAAATTGATTAATATTTAGGGTTATTAATTATGAATAATACATTACATAGTTGGTTCCAAAATTCTCAAAGTATTTCCCAAGAAAAAAAAGATAAAAACATAGAAAATCATAACTACTAAATAAGAACCTGAAGGAAAAGGCCATGCAACATACCCCAAGTAATGAAAAACAGAATAATTATACATTCCTGGTCTAAAAAGAACAACAATCGGGTAAACATGAATTTCATGATTTCCTACGGTACTCCCCGCCTTTAATATTTCACACTCTAATAAAAACCAAACAAATAATACCTTAATTAGAATAAACTAGAATCCCATCTGCATAAATATAATAAGCGAATACATTATCATCATCATATGACAATAAAAGTTATAAGAAACTAACGATTCCGATCTTCAGATGAGACGAGAAACGGCCAAGGATCAGCCTTTCCACCGGTGCCTCCTTTAATTTAGTCACCTTCGGAGGCATATCTCCTTATACGAACAGAGATGATCGAGAACAGTGGTTTCGTTAGTTAGGGTTTATACAAAGAATGATCGTAGGAGATGGAAGAAATGGTCTCGATTATGGCAAAAAATTCTCCACTACAGAGACTGTCAGTCACTCTAGCCTAGCGTAACCCAAAAGCCCAAACTCATCACCTTTGGCATTTGCCTTAGGTAAATTACATTATTGGTCCCTATGGTTTAGATAAAATCATATTGTATACGTTTTAATTCAAAATAATTATGGAAAACCTCCATTACATTTTCACAAGTGTTTTGGGTTTGGTTCACGTGAGACCAAGGGTTTTTTGTGAGATCTGTAAGATTAATTTATATTCATTGATCAACTTTATAAGCTATTGATTTAATGGTCTAAAGTTGCACGGTGACAATTTTGTGATTATTGAGAAGTCTCATGGCAATTTTGAGATTATGAATATATTCAGATTGTAAATCTAATCCAATGGTTGAGAATTGGTCTTACAGATCTCACGAAAAACCCTTGGTCTCACATGATCCCAAGTTAGTCTTTTGGTCCCTATATCCTAACTCTATTAACATATATATATCCCTGTTAAATAGGTTTATCATAATTTTTTTATTTTCTATTTAAAATCATAGAGACCAAAGATTGTAATCTATTTAATGCATGGCCCACCTCTTTCTCTCTATCATCTCTACTGATGATATATACACATAGACATAATATATGTATACACACAAAATACATACCCATATTACACAACAATCCACACACACGTATATACACATACATACAAGAGCATATATATACACCCCTTCTAGAAACCGTCTTCATCTTCCTCCTTAGGCTAACCACCGTCCATCTTCCCTTCGCCAGTGGTACCTCCGACAATTGTCTTTGGGCTCCCCACCGCATTGGGAACCCAACTCCATCAACTTCAAGAACATTCGATCAAAAACCATATATATATATATATATATATATATATATATTTGTGTTCAAAAGCATCAAAACCCATCTCCAACTTCAAGAACGAGAATAACTCTCCTTGTAATATAAAGCTTCATTTTTGGTTAAAGGCATTGATTGGTGTAGGGTGGATTAACCGTACCGCTAGAGACGAGTGCAATGAGACGGATTAGGAATTCCATTTGGATAATCAAAGAACAATGGAGATTATGGGAGCAACGAAAATGCCTTCAATGTTTACTGTTGTTGTATTTTCTGCATTGTTTGTTGTACAATAAGCACCATCTCCATCTCCATCTCCATCTCCATCTCCATCATTATCATGGGTTATGTGAATTCATCATTTAACCAAACTAAACCCGTCATCCTCATATATATGCTTTGTACGTGCATATATATACAAATGCTATGTATATGTGGGCATACACGGCATATATACCCCAACACAATGTTCACACACACACATATATATATATATATATATATATATATATATATGCATATATACAAGGAAAGGGGTCAAACTAGAACCCTTTTAATTTACGAGAATGTGAGAACAGTCTACCAACCAAGTATTGTGATAATAATCAAAATTAAGGGTTTTTTTAAATTATAAATAATATTAAAAACAATTCAAAAAAATTGAGAGGTGGAAAGGGTAAACTAGGAATTCAAAGGGATAATATTTAAATAACATGATCACAAAAGAGTCTGATCATCTAGGAACTGATAAATAACATCGTCGACTTATCCAGTAGGCCATTATTAGAGGAAAATGGGTTTCAAAAGGTTTCAGAAGACAGAAATTGCACCGGATGAAGAAATCGAACTAGAAATTTGCAGAGACATTTGATTCAAGGTTTGCTTATCATAACTTTATCACACTTAGTATATGAATCGGTCATCATAGCTCGATTAGAACATTGTTTGGTTTGATTGGGGTTCGATTTTCACACGATTATCACAAGAAATCCGACTAGAAAACTTTGTTTGGTTCCATTAGGTTTCACATATCACACACTTATCACAGCCAAATACGATCGAGTATCACACGATTATCACAAGAAATCTGACTATGCTTTGTTGGATTCGATTAGGTTTTACGCATCGCACGTTTATCACAGCCAAATATGAATCGAGTATCACACGGTTATCACAAGAAATCCAACTACACTTTGTTCGGTTCGATTAGATTTCACATATCATACGATTATCATAGCCCAATCAATATCGATTATCACACGATTTTCACCAAATATGACTACACATTTTTTGGCTCCATTAGGTTCCCGTATCATACGATTATCACTGCTCAATCATTAGCGATTATCACACGAATATCACCAAATGCGAATAGACATTGTTTGGTTTGATTAGGTTCATGTATCACACGATTATAACTATCCAATCAATATCGATTATGACACTATTATCACAGCCAAATACGAATATGAGTCGACTAGATACACAGTTGACACAAAAAAGTATTAATATGTTCCTTACCTACAACATTCAAATCCTTCATTCTCGGTCGAAAGAAGAATTGTATACTCCGAATATTAGAAATTTCGATACGAAGTTCTATTTAACATAGGAATGGCAATGAGCAGGGTTCGGGGCAGTTATTGGTATCTCCATCCCCGTACCGTCCTGATCCCTGTCGGGTCCTCGTTGTTTCTCCGATCCTCGTTGGGGAACCCGTGAGGGTAAAAATCCCCCTTTTCACGTTGGTTTCCTCATTCACTGTTGGTTATACCCAAAGCCCGAACCGATATGAAAAAAATTACAATATGTGAATTTTCACACTAAAAGTAAATTACAGTTCTTTTAAGATGTAAGACTAAATGTCTACATAACCAAACTAATTACAAACAATGTCTTAGAGCACAATATAAAACTAAATAGAAATTCAAACATCATACAACTAACATCACGCTCAAGATTAGACAAATAATAGAGACTTTTTTGTGAGCCTTATTGGATGTTGAGATAAAGTGGATAAAAGTCTTTTAAATTTTAATGTTAGCGTTAGTATATTCTTTTAATTATATTTTACATACATATATATATATATGTATATGTATATATATATATAGAGAGAGAGAGAGAGAGGAGCGATCAATTGCAAATCACCCTCTTTTGTGCAAACCATACAAACCGATCTCATCCATCTATTTTCTTGATCAATGGTCATGATTAAAATGTGTTATATTAGGAAAGTAAAAAAAATGAAAATTAAAGTTTATTGAAAAAGGGCAAATTTGACAAATCACCCATATAGTTCCATAAATAAAATAACATCCACATTAAAAATAGATCCATGTAAGGAGCAATGAAACTAGGTATATCCTAATAAATTATGAAACATAAAAACATATTTTAATCAACAAAAAATAATGAAATCTTTTGAATACTAAAGGAAATATTTGTTTCATTAAATGAATGAATGAAACTGTTTCACCGTTTATTGAATGAACTCATGTGACTCCTTGTCACCTACAATGAAAGATGGACCATTTGACATGTAGTAGTGAACGATATATGAAAGTATTTCATTAATGGTTATATGTGTAGGATTGGACTCTTAATAATTTCTAATCAAACTAATTTTAAAACAAGGGATACCCTAATAAACGATGAAACATATAAAGAATGAAACATTTTTTAAAATTGAATGAAACATTTTGAAAACTGAATACTTTATTTTCGTAAGTGAAACTTTTTCATGCATAAAATGTTTTAAAATATTAATAAATTAAATTCATCAGTGAAATTGTGTTCATGGTCACTATTAAACATTACATTCGTTTCATTACTCAAACTACATATATTTGGTCAATGAAACGAAATCAGATTTCATATTGTACTCATTTTACAATTCATATTTTAGGAGTATAATTTAATAAAATAATATAAATTATTAATGGTAATAATTTTATATTAAAAACAATTTATTTACACCGTTTATTGAATGAATAACGTGACTCTTTGTCACCTACAATGATATATGAAAATATTTCATGAAGAGTATCACATTGTTAATTGTTTCTAATCAAATTGATTTTAGGAGTATAGTTGTACAATTCATATTTTAGGAGTATAATTTAATAAAATAATAAAAACTATTAATGGTAATAACTTTATATTAAAAATATTTGATTTACCACCTTCTATATTAAAGATTTCTATATTTACGTTTCCATAATTAAGGATAATTATTACCTTCCAATATTAACCAATATACAATCAAATGATAACTATACCCTTTGTTATTAAAAATAAAGAAAAAAACAAAAATTTTCTATCGGTCGAAAATGGTTTGCAAAGGTTTCACGAATTGGGCGGTTTGTAATCTAACCCGCCTATATATATATATATATATGTGTGTGTGTGTGTGTGTGTGTATGTGTGTGTGTATAAATTAAAAATTAATATATATACACATATCGGGCTGGGCCACGCCGGTGATCATCGCCCCTGCCCCCGTCCCCGTTAAAATCCTTGGGTATGTCCACGATCCTCGTCCCGTCCCCGATAAGATGTCCACGAACCCGACCTGCAAGTTTTGTTTTTCGGTTTTCGCCATTGGTTTCGGGTTTTTTGCCATCTCTGATTCAACATGATCATATTACAAGCTACAATCATGGGATGGTTCCAATTAATTAAAATAAGATAAAAATTATAAAAAAATTACCTAATTACATTACTATCTTTATTGATTTATTTTTATTTAATATAACTTAAACTATTGGTTAAAAAAGTTTGAGACCCACAACCGTTTTCACATTCTCGTAAATCATGTGGATTCTCGTTTAAACCTCCACTTATATATACACACAAATAAAATAGCATATATATAAACCCATCACCTATCATGTTCGTTCCTAACATTTTATAGGCCCTAGGCAACATGTAAAAATGAGCCCTCGATAAGTATGAAAAAAATTCAATATATATTTTTTATCATCATAAATAACATTGAATTTATAAAATACTAATAATTCATATAAACTGTTCTTTTAGTAATCCTTGACACAAAATCAATCAATAATTACTTCTAAATTAATATTTATGTAGCATATCATTTTACATAGCATCGAAAACCCGTT